CGCCCCGCTCTCGCCCTGGCACACCCGACGCTGCAAGTGCCGGGGCCCCGCGAGCCCGCCGTCGCCCCGAGCCTGCCGATGCCCACTCGGGCAGGACCCCCGTGGCCTCGCACCCATTGGGACCTGGCACACACCGGCCCCCAGAGCTTCCTGGCTCCAAGTCGCACCCCACACTGGACCCGCAGGCTCACGCCCCCACCGGGAAGGGGCTGCACCACTCGGCTGTGCTGTCCCCAGCCTTCCAGGGAGGCCCCGCTGTCCCTAGGGGCCACTTCCCAAGCACAGAGCCCAGGCCCGCAGCCGTCCCGCGGCCACTGGGCCCTTCCCGCCCTCAGCCGCCTGCCCGGGCTGGTGCCCAGGCACCCCCACCCGCTCTGCGCAGGCAGCCAACTGGGGCATCGCAGCCTGGACGCTGGCCTGTGCCCCTCACCCCGGGGCCCCAGTGAGGTGCTGCCGGGCGCTGGGGGAGGGACATGAGACACAGCAGGGTCGGGGCGGGGGCCGGGCCGGGGTCCTAGCCACGCCGGGCCCTCTCTCTGCAGGGCACCTGCCCGTCCTGGGCGGGCGCTGCGGGGCAGTTCCGCCTGCTGACCGCCAACAGGGCCAGGGTGGGCAGCCACTCGCAGCCTCTGCCACCGGCACACCCCGTCTGACCGCTGGAGCGCTCGGGAGAATGAGCAGCAAGAGGGGGTCCCCTAAAGCTGTACCAGGGAAGTGGCCGGCACCCCTCCCCGGGGCCAAGGGGACAGCCACCGCTGGTGAGTGGGCACCCTCTGGCCCGGGGCACCCGCGACTGACCTGGACACCCTCTGCGCCACCTGGCGACACTCACCGTGAGAAGACCCACCTCCCCAGGACTGGCCTTTGGGGACCCTCGCTGGGCACGTCCCTGCCCCTGCGCTGTGGCCGTGGCCCTGGGCAGTCTGGGGCGCCGCTGGGGGGCAGGGCACCCAGGTCCCAGGCTCGGCAGGTCCCCCGCCCTCGCCCTCGGCCACACTCCCGGGCCGGGGGGCACGGGGCAGCTGGCGCTGTGGGTCGGGGTCCCACCCGTCACCGCCCTCCCCTGGCTGCGGGTCCCGCTGGCACCCTGGCAGTGGGGTCTGGGCTTGCTGGG